ACACAACATTTGTTATAATAAAGACAAGAGCACACCTTAGGAACTTCTTTGCAATGGTGTTTGAAAAGGAAGCGATAATCAGATTTGAGGAAATGAGATGGATGAGAAATGGTTCTGTAATGATCAAGATGCTAGAAAGAGGAGTGTGGTTTTCTTCCATTTCTTCTGCCGTGCCAGGCTTTGGCACAAGAGGGAGAGTAACAGAAAGCCCTCGGTTTGTGTGTCTGTCAATGTCAAATCTTTTCAGGATCACGGTTCAAGGCAAACAGTGAGGACAGAGGGGGACAGGGAGGAGAACTGGTGCATAGCTGAGAGGGTGCTGGTAGGTCAAAGCACTTTCTATAAAGCTGGAACTGGTGGATTTTTTTGGGGTCTTTTTTTGAAGACTAAAAACCTTTAAGTGTATGATGTCAATAGGCCAAAAAAAGAGGGGAAAAAGTGGCAACTTCTTTCATTCTCAAAGCCAAACAAGCCTAACTCAAATATGGAACACAAGTAAACTAAAGCAAAGACGCAGATTAACGTTCACAAGAAAATGTCACCAACTTTCACCAAAATCTATAAAAAAACAACTGTAGAAGATAAACTGGTTGCAAAGGTCGCAACCGGTTCACTTTTTTAGATTTAAAGCCAAGAAGAAAAGCACCTCCAACCATTGCAAAGATGGGGTCAGCTGACTTTCTGAGACCAAAGCTATTCAGAATGGTAAATGGCCTGCATTTGATATAGCACCTTCTAGAGTCCTGGAACCCCTCAAGGCGCTTTACAACACAATCAGTCATTCACCCATTCACACACACATTCACACACTGGTGGGGATGTGCTACAGTGTAGCCACAGCTGCCCTGGGGCGCACTGACAGAGGCGAGGCTGCCGAGCACTGGCGCCACCGGTCCCTCCGACCACCACCAGCAGGCAACGTGGGTTAAGTGTCTTGCCCAAGGACACAACGACAGCGACAGACTGAGCCGGGCTCGAACCTGCAACCTTCCGATTACGGGGCGAGCACTTAACTCCTGTGCCACCGTCGCCCCCTGTGCCAGAATCACTAAGTACAGTGCAGACCATGAACCACACTCACATTTTATTACTCTGCCACCTTCCCAAGTTCTTTCACCTTTAAAGTTATGTATTATTATGGAGCAATGGGTTTTGAGTTGGGACGCTCCAATCTGATTACATGATCTGAAATCGGGCCCGATCACATGACATTTAAAAAAATCTGAAATGGTAAAAAGATAGGACTAAGCCTTATAAAACAACAATTATGACTTTTGAATTTCATGCTAAGATAGAGATTTTGTAACGGAACAAAAATGGCTTAGTTTGAATCAAGTTCCTCTACATCAGTGTTTTATTATCTTCATCAAATAGCAAGACTCAGGGGTCTCAAGCCCAGACAAGACCTAGAGAATCTCATTCATGCGTTCATCTCCAGCAGGCTGGAATATTGCAATGGTCTTTTGACTGGTCTTCTCAAAAAAGCTGTGAAGAAAACTGAACACATCACTCCTGTTCTTAATTCTCTTCACTGGTTACCAGTAAACTACAGGATTGATTTCAAAGTACTTCTACTAGTTTTTGAATCACTCAAGCCCCCTTCAGACAGGCCATGAAAAATAGAAATGTTCCGGACTCTGTCCGTAAGACCTTTGTGTCTGAATACAAACATCCGGATAACGTTTTCCGTAATTAAACCGGACGAAGCACCTAGTAACAGGTCCGGACTTGTTACCGACAAGGTGGCTGCTTCAGACTGGTGAGGTCGAGTTCCGGACAGGGAGGAGCGGGAGGAGGAAGGGACCGGGGGACGCTGTGCGCACCTAGATAGCTTGCTCCTGTAGCGAACTATGGCAGCTCGCCTCCTACGGTACCATCTAGACACGCGACGGAGTGCTTCACACCGCATCCGTGATTCCTTTAACCATTGAGCTTCATCATCCAGGTCTCTTATGCATCTTCGTGTGCAGAATTATGCTTAACATAAGCCCGATCCCCCCCGTCAGACATCTGGAACTTTTCCCTGCTGTGTGAAGGCAACCAAAAGGACAAGTTTCGGTACAAAAGTGGTGTGTCTGAAAACACAGTTCTGGTTAAAAACCGGATTGAATTGTCCACACATATTCCAGAATGTCTATCTGAAAAGGGTTTATGGGTCAAGTCTGGCAAGGATGTCTTGACAATTTTGCCAAAATACTTGAGTAAAACAAACAAGATGGTACTATGAAAGTTTAGAAAATTATCTTGCATGAATCACTGATATTGCAGTTTTTAGAAGGCACAGCAATACCAGCTAGTTATGGCTGTGTAGGGACTAGATGTTAGGTTATCAGTCCTGTAGGATTCTAAATAATCTGACTTAATTTAGTGTGTGTGGTGTGTGTGTGTGTGTGTGTGTGTGTGTGTGTGTGTGTGTGTGTGTGTGTGTGTGTGTGTGTGTGTGTGTGTGTGTGTGTGAGAATAGATATACCATTGTCCTGCCCAAATCTAAATGCCAACTACTCACCTAACCTTAATTCTAGCTCATTAAACTAACCCATAAGAAAAATGTTCTGTCAGCAGGGAGAACATTAAGATGGAATTAAGTTTGTATTTTCTTTGTCCTTATGACGAAGAACTGGCCATTTTTTCCAGATTCTGCCCTAAACAGCACACTAAGCAAACAAATCACACTGGCTCACGAGGGCATGGGAAAACCATTTAGTCCAAAGATGCCTGAAAAAGCATTTGGTGTGCAGATCGTATAGTGCAGATCTCAGATGATTTTCTTTTAAAACTGCAACCACCCACAGGCTTCTAAAACTCCAGCTGGCAAGCAATCCTGCGGAGAACAGATTCTACCCCAGCAGGGGCCACGGGGATGCAGCGGGAAAGAGTAAAAGAAGCTCATTCTGTTGATTAAATTTAGTTGATTTAGCTGCTTGGCTTCTCTAGGGTGACTTGGAGCTTACATTGAGTATCAGCTTTGAAATGGCATCCCTGTACTGTAATGATCCCTGGTGTTATCGACAGTACTTTTTAAATAGTGCATCTGTATTAAAATGATAGATTCAGTTTAACATGCTGCCTTTGTCAGACTTGTTCACGCCTCTATCCAGTCAGATTACCTTCAGCTACACAGCTCGGCCAATTCCAGTTAAATGTATGGGTGCACAAACTTTAATAGTCAGAATTAGTAAGAAGTAATAATAAGCCAAAGATGTGATCCTTTCTAAATTTGGTCTTACCTCTGAGGAGAAAATCTGGCAATAACAAACTAAATATTACCTAAGCTGAGTTCCAGCCCGTCTAATATGCTTAATGAACACAAAGCTATAGGTCAGATAGGTTTCTGTGGAATGGATGTGACAAAAAAATATTCTATCTGTTATATCTAATAATTCTATATGTTATAGATTGCTTTTAGAAAAGTTTTTACTTTGGAGAAATAAAGATAAGCTAATAACCATAAACTAGCTAAAGTGGATTTCTAATTCCCAGTTGGAAGTGTTACACTCTGAACTTGCTGTTAATTTCTGTTGCACATATCCACATACAGTGGGATGTGAAGGTTTGAGCAGTGTTGTTTATCTTCATGATTTTCCTGAATAAATTGTTGGTTGTTACGATAAAACACTTCAGTGAAATATATCATAAAGGAGACACACTCAGTGATATTTGGGAAGTGAAGCAATGTTTATTTACAGAAAGGGTGCAATACTTATTTAAACAAAATGAGGCAGGTGCACCACAAAACTGAAATGAACTCAATATTTAGTAGATCCTGCTTTTGCAGAAATAACCTCGAAACACTTCCTATAGCTTCCAATGAGAGTCTGGATCCTGGCTGAAGGTATTCTGGACCATTCTTCTTTACAAAACATCTCTAGTTCATTCAGGTTAGATGGCATCTGAGCATGGACAGCTCTCTCTAACTCACACCACAGTTCTTCTGTAATATTCAGGTCTGGGGACTGAGATGTTCATTCCAGAACGTTCTACTTGTTCCTCTGCATGAATGCCTTAGTAGATGTTGAGCAGTGTTTAGGGTCGTTGTCTTGTTGAACGATCCAGCCCCAGTGCAGCTTCAGCTGTGTCACTGATTCCTGGACATTGGTCTCCAGAATCTGCTGATATTGATTGGGATCCATGCATCCCTCAACTTTAACAAGATTCCCAGTCCCTGCACTGGTCACACAGCCCACAGCATGATGGAACCACCACCATGTTTTACTGTAGGTAGCAGGTGTTCTTGGAATGCCGTGTTCTTTTTCCTCCTTGCATAATGCCCCTTGTTATGCCCAAACCACTATGACATGTCAATAAGTTGTTCTAAAATGGTATCAATGTCCAGCCTCTGTATATTTTATATCTCTTATCTTATTGTTGACTTTATTCATTTGTATACTTAGATTAGCCATTTTTATATTTTACTTGTTTTTACATTACTGTATTTTTGCACAGCTCTGTTGCTGTGAAGCTCGCACACAAGAATTTCACTCGCATGTACTGTACCAGTGTACCTGCACATGTGATGTGACAATAAAAGTGATTTGATTTGATGTCTGCTGAAACAAACTATCAGCTCATCAACCTGCTCTGAACCAGTGACTGTATATGCATTTATAAGACATTGCACCAGAACCCTGAAGTTGAAGAAGGAACAGACCTCTGGCCCTCTAGTGGATGGTTTCAGTGGCCTTTTTGTTATTGTAATGCAAGCATTTGAGCTTTTTGTTTGCAACATTACTACAATTACCGTACCTTTATTATTACCTTGTATTTCCTCTTCTAGTTCTTTCAGAAGATGTTCTTGGTGGTGAAGTCATTTTAAAAGTGAAGATCTAATCTTCTCTCCATACACTACCATCATCCAGGGTTTAACTTTCCTTTGTCCTTTTTGTACCAAAGACATTGGCTTGTATTTAACTTCTGATTTTAAAGTAGTCTGTATAATAGTTGCCAATACATCTAAAACAAACAAACAAACAAAAAATGTAAAAAACAAACTCTTTACTTACTCATACATTTGCAGCTTGTAGCACTGGCCGCTCAGAAACAAAAACTCCCAGTCTGTTCCGTAGTCTATACTAAGATTCTTCTGTAAATCTCTGAGGAGCACAAAAGTACAAAATCAATGACAAGTTCAATTTAAAACCTTTTAATTATGTATTTCTTTACATTTTCCATGATAATTTCATGTTTTAACTATTTACACACATTTTAGACAAGGACCTTTTCTTAAAGCTTCTAAATAGTATTCCTCAGGAAATAAATGGATAAATCTACAAGGGATACTTCAAAGGAAGTATGTACAACCAAATAGTGTTTACTAATACCCCTGTAACTCAGAACCACACTAACCCTAACCCTAGCAATAGTGCCTTTATTTTCATCACCATTTTTATTAATAAACAAATTAAGGAGAATTCTTGGAACGTATGTTAATGAGGTGGCCCTTTAAAGCTTGTTACTATGCAGTGTCTTCAATTACCTGAGCTGGAGAGGGCTGGTCTCCTTCACTAAAGGCAGATAAGGTGAGTGAGCCCTATCTCTAATGGTGCACGAGCCCTCATTTCCATTTTTATAACCCAGAATTACTAATAGGGTTAACAAATGTTTGGGGAGAGTGATTGTTTGCTTGATGTTGATAAGGCAAGGCAGGGTTGGGTAGGAGAATCAGGGACAGGAAACAATGTATGTAGCTTAACCGTGTGTGCATGTGATTCTCAGTGAGGACAAAGGTCATGGCATTCATGCACCGAGTCATTTTTGTGTGAATCACTTTTTCTTTACAGCTCTGAGTAATTTGACCAAGAGGTAATGGTGGAAAAATGTTGGACGAAAAATAACTGAAACATCTAAAGTCACACTAGCTCCTGATTTTTACTTGTTTATAAGAGGAAAAAAGACAAATCTTTACACTTTGGCAAAAACCATTTCTCTGCGTGGCACTCTTCTCCTCCTTTACTGTAACGACCGTTCAGAAAACGTAAAGAGCCACAGATGCCTCATCGGCTATTGATGGCTGTTTCATATGTCCATGAAAACATCAGAGGGAGCATGCATCCTGAATAAGAACATTTTATATTGGAAGATGAAGATGATGACTGGATAATGACTTTGTGATGGCTCTGCTGCTTGTGTTCATGTTGTTGTTGATAATGCCACCTAAAGGCACTCATTGATATAACCTATAGGAGATGTCCATAACTCTTTTTATAACTAATGCTCTCTATAGTTATGTAGCAGTTAAGCCAAAACATTTCACTAGCATAGTAAACTTGATTTCTTTAAACACGCCCAATTTCTTTTATCCAGAGAGGACCCAATCTCTATTTTTGGGAACCAGCGTTCTATAGCATGGGTAACCAGCTAGCTGCACGCGAGCCAGAGCTACATCTTTCAAGAGGGTGCTCGCTGCAGAACTACAAAGGCGGAGCTGCACCATAAGGTGGAGTTGCACCAGAGTCAGCCCCGCCCATTCACGCAAACTCAGCCTAGCCCACTGACTGCTTCTGTTTTTGTTTTTTAACTTTATCGCAAACTAACCTGACCCACATTAATTATGGCTGTTACTAGTTTACAGTCGTTAATGCTATGTTCTATGCTCCAATTAAACAAGATACATATAACTTGCTACATGACAAAGCCTGAATATATCACGAAATGCAAAGGTTTCTTTTAGCAAATATCTGCCCACAGCCGCTCCAACAAACCAGCCTACAACAGCATTTAAGGCTATTGGATGGGTTCTGATAGTCCAGTGGCATGATCGTCTGACTAAAGTTTTGCTTTCCCCTCTACTGATGCTGGTTCGACTCTCGGTGGGCTCGGCAGCAATCTATTTAGCCAGCTGAAACGTTTAAGTTGTTTATATTGTAGTTGTAATGTTTATTTTCTGCAAAATATTTATGTCTCTAAAAGTTCCTTTATGTCTCTGGTCATTCCTAAACAGCATTTTAGTTGAAACTCTGCTCACAAATGGACTCGCACTGGCTAAATAAACAAATAAATAAAAAAATCAAACCACATTAGTCATTATATTTTAAACGGTATACCAATAAGTTGTGTAAACATAGTACTGGCAAGTGTAGCTAGAAAGGAAGAAAAAAGTTAATGCCGCTACTGGGAGGGGAACCTGCGCAAAACTGAATGCCAATCTGACTCCATAACCACTTCACCACTACATCTGATAACAGACATGTGGCGTTACATGTAATTGTGCCATCCAGTGTGTCTTTGTAGATGGGATGTATGGTTTTTCCGACGGTGTCTCAGTAGAAGTCATTTCAGAAATAATTTGTCCGAAAATTCACAGAATATCCAGATTGGAGAACCAAGACCAGACCCGCTTCAGGGGGAGGAGAGGACCAAATTGAAGCTGAGATGGGAGGAAAATGCGTGAATGAGGCCAAAAATGGCTTTGGCGTGTTTCTTATGAGGAAATGACAATATAACATGGTAAAAAGTTCCAAAAGTTAGATTTTTTATTATATGGAACCTTTACAAAAACGGTTCAATTAACTTCTCAACTCCGTCCTCAATCTTGCATTTTAGATGATATTAGCTTTAACACCCTCTTTGGTTCCAGAATGCTATTAAGTCTGACAACTGGAAGGAATTGGACTGACTCTGATGGAATGGGCGGGGCTGACTCTGGTGCAGCCCCACCTTTGTGGTTCTGTAGCGAGCACTACTTGCATCTTTCTGGCCTGTGAGCCAGGTATATAGTGGTCCCCTTTCAACAGAATTCATGTTGCTGGTTCAAGATGGTTCGTTCAGCAGTAAGAAAGCACAACACTTATACTCCTACACCTCTACCAATAAAAAAAAACCACATCAATGATCGTTTGTCATGTGGTAAAGTCCACAGATTCATGTATTTCCCCTCTTGGTTTGAGTTGCTAAAAAGTTATTTATTTGAAATGCTGTTAAATATTATAATGTAGAACATAAAACTACAGAATGATGAGAATGAACTAACTTTGTGTAATGCATAAGAAAATCTCTTCAGGATAGAAGGTTTTCTGCATAAAAACATAATGATTTAAATAACGCAGCTAAAGCTTTGGTACCAGGAGGTCACATTTTTGAATTAATACTAAAGATGACTTAGTATTTCACTCCAATTGATCATATTTTAAAATTTGAGATAGCTCACACCCAAGCTGGCACTCCTCTGCTCAAAATAGGTTGGGAAGAGGCTTTACCCTGCAGAGAACAGTAGGCAACCAATAGCATTTGTTTGTCTTCATTAAAATTAGCCCTAGGTATCACACAGTACAAATTCATTACTGTGCAGCTTTCCACATTGCTTTAGAACAGAGGGATGGAGTCTATTTTAGGTCCTGCTAAGATAGCGTGCCATCCTACTTGCAGTAGCTAAGTGGGAAGTAAATGCATCATCCACAGAAAGAGTTCAGTGTTCAAGATTTAACCACAAATACACGACAACAGGAGCCAACCTCTTTAATTCTTTATTTTCCCTTACCTTATTTCCATGTTGACTGTCTCATAAGCTTCTTCTACCTTCCTCAGATTGGTAGCCTCCCACTCCGCTGGTAGACAAAACAAAAGGTCAGACAAATTAACAATGCGGAGCTGTTGCAACTCGACAGCTGCGTGCTGCCAAACAATATGGACTTTTCAAGGCTGGTGAGAGAAATAAAGCTGCACGTGAATGCTGGCTGCTATTTTCAGGTGAGTTAAGTGCACAGCGGCAGGCTTATTAGCCTCTTCACACTCAAAATTGAGACAACTGTGGGAGAATACGTCAAAAGGCTGTGTGAGTGCAACACAGGTACAACAACTGTTCTACTTTTGTAACTAATATATGTCACTTATATCTATATATATATATATATATATATATATATATATATATATATATATATATATATATATATATATATATATATATAACAGACAATGTGGAAAGCAGCATTTCACATGCTTCCATGTGAAATGTGAAAGTTGGGAATTTACTAAGTCCTTAAAAAGAAACTGGAAGGAAAAATAATGTTACTTGTACTCAAACCTTTCTCAGTGCTCATCATAAACCCTTTTTGGTGGTCAACAGAAACGTCCTTGGTGCTCATGTGAAACCTCTTCAGCACTCAGGTGAAACTTTCATGATGTTTTCGAGAAATTTTCATGGTTCTTTAAAAAAAAGCTTTCCTGGTAATCATGATAAACTTTCATGGAACCTGTTGGTACTCCAGAAAAAAATTTCTTGGTGGTCATGAGAAACTTTTTTGATGCTCATGTAGAACTTCTTCAACCATCAAGTGAAACTTTTAAGGTTCTTAAAAAAACTTTCTTGGTGCCCACAAGAAATTGTCAAAGGGCTCACAGGAAACTTCAATGGTTTTCACAAGAAACTTTCATTGAGATCACAAGAAACTTTCTTGGAGTTCACGAGAAACCATTTTGGTGTTCACATGATACTTTCTTTGTTTTCATGAGACAATTTGTTGGTGTTCATGAGAAATTTTCTTGTTGCTCATGAGAACCATTCTTGATATTCACGAGAAACTTTCTTGGTGGTCATGAAAAACTTTCATGGTGCTCATGTGAAACTTTCTTGGTGCTTACAAGAAACATCTATGGTGTTGATCAGAAACTTTCTTTGTTGTCATGAGAAACTCTCTTGGTGCCATCAAGAAACCCTCTGGGTGTTCATGACAAACTTTTATAGTGCTCACGTGAAACTTTACTGGTGTTTACAAAAACCTTTCACAGCCCTCAAAAGAAATTGTCATGATGTTTGCGAGAAACAGTTTTGGTTTCTGTAACTGTCAACATGGGGAAGTCAACCCATAGGTACATAAATGCTTGGAAAAAGATCCAGAGAATGTTTGCCTTCTGTTGTTGGATCATGAAGCCTTACAATTATTAGCACAAATCCACACTCATGTTTAAAATTAATTGTCACTCAACACCACTTGCTCACCAATGCTCATACTGCATACTTTGACTTTTGTGGTCATTGTATAAGCTGCTAAAACCGGCCTTTCTCTAGTCTGATTATTGCAGTGTTGAAAAATGTTAAAAGGTGTGGAACACTGAAAAATAATTTTTTTACTATTTCTGGTTAAAATCTTAAAACGTAAGTTTTTTTTTACTGGTTGGACATGAAAATAGTCTCCAACTCCTACCTTCTGCATTAGCTTCTGATAAAAACTTGACAGTAAAATTAAGATTTGAAAAGCCTAACAGATGTAGGTCACACTGTCACTTAACATTCATGGACTCGCCCATCTTGACTTGTGACAGGGAAGGCTGTTGTTGGTTTAATGTCCAGTAAACAGCAGAGAACGTCTCAGCTAGTAGAAGCTAACCATTAGAATTAGCAACTCACCATACAGCAGAACTCATTCAGACTTGTGTTGGGGTGACTTGCTCTTTAATGATTTTTCATGCATCACAAAATAAAGTGCTTTTGCTTTCACACAATAACAAGCCTGTTAAAACTGAATGTAATGTACAACTACACACTAACATCAGAACAATTGGGGGTAAAAGTTACAGATGCTGAGAAAGAATCCTGGTGTGAAAAATGGCGGTCTGTCTCAATTCGTTCGGCCTTCAAATGCAAATCCACTTCAATATGGTTATTCTTGTGTAAAAACCAAGATAATTTGTTTGTTGGAGCATAAAAGTAATTAAGATAATAAAATTTAAGTTAAATTTTATTTTGTGGTTGTCAGAGTAATTGGAATGTACTCTTGTACTTGATCTTCAAGTATAAGAGCTTTGTCACAAGGCTCTGTTTTGGGTCCACTCTCATTTCTACTGTACTGTAAAGAATGGGTACTTTACATCTTACTTATGAACCATAAAATGTGAGATTCCATAGAAATATGAAATATCAATCTGATGGAACTTTGAATATTTTTACCAGAATATCAGAACTTTTTATTGCAGGGATTAAGTGACACTTAGTATTAATTCCAAGGAAAGAGAGTCAGGTTTAAAATAGTTAAGGAATTTATTTCTACACAATTTAAACAAGACTAACTTAAACACTCTGTGTACTGATGGACTAAGGTGGAGTGAGACGTGAGATGAATGATGTGTGTGTGGAATGTTGTTATCAGAACCAGTGGATCCGGAGAAGCATTTAGTTCAGAGTGGGAGTGAATGTTTCGCTCTGAACTTTAGTAGGAGATTTATAACACACATGAAACGCCATCTGTCGGTCTATGTACCCCAGGGGAAGCCTCCATTAGATCCAGAATGGCGCGGTCCTCTTGGACCCTCCTTGGTACCGAAGCCGGTAGAAAAGCAGCGGTGCCAACCAAACTAGTCTTGGAATGCTTCCAGGTAGCGACAGGTTATCACTGGTGTCTCCAAGACCCTGAAGGGGTTGTGAGGTTCAGCTTTTATTCTGAAGGAACCGTTGCGGTCAGGTGTAACTTGCAACAGATTTTATCCAGCTTGTCGAGGTTCTTTATGGCTGAAGAGGGAGTCCGGATGGCCTGTCCGAGACTTCTCTAGAACGCTTGAACTAAAGAAAAGGTGGCGTGGGATAGGTTTTATAATTGTCATATTTTGGTTTAGTGGCGAATCAGAATTTGACATGCAAAAGAGGGTTTGTACAAACACCACAGAAAACCATGCCTCGCGCCAGAAACGAAGGTTCTCATTGGATCAGACAAAAGGAAATGTGTCATGTGGCTTTAGCATTAAGTGTCATTAGTGTCTAGTGCAAATGTCCAGGATTATAATTACTTGTAAAATACTACTGATCACAGGATTATAATATCAAGTAATAACATTGTCATTTCACAAATTGATTGAACATTGAGCTCACATTATTTTTGGTAATAACAAAGTTGTTGATTATGCGTTTATCAAAAGAGTGTTCTTTGTCTTCGACTGTAACAGAGGTGAAGCAGTTCAGGTGAGCAGAGTGCATGAAAGACCTTGGCCACTATCTCATGTAGATTAGCCTGTCAGAGACTTTATGTCTCTGCTCGAGCAGACGCAGCAGATCATGACCTTTAGGTCAAAAACAGGACTTTCATGACGCTACAGTACATACTTCCTCTTGGATAGATAATTGATTTTTTTTCATAATGTCCTTATCATCTATATGCAGATGGCATTCAGCTGTACTGCTCTTTTAAGGATTCTGAGTTATATAAACTGTCTGAATCACTAGAATGTCTATCAGCTATCGCCAGCTGGCTAGAAGATAACTTCCTTCAGTTAAACTGAAAAGACTGAATGTCTGATCATTGCCCCTGAGAGCATGGTTCCCCTGATTAGTCTAAAACTTGGTCATTTATCCTCTGCCGTTACGACAAACTTAAGGAATTTGGGTGTTGTTTTTGACCAATCAATGTCTCTTGAAGGTCACTCAAAAATGTTGGTCCAAAACTGTTTTTATCACTTAAGAAATATCTCCAAACTGCGAAGGTTGGGGTCAAAACATGAACTTGAAATGGTTCTCCATGCCTTTATCTCCTCCTGTCTATATTACTGTAACACACTCTTCACATGTTTTAACAAAACAACCCTTGACCCCCTCCAGTTGGTCCAGAACTCTGCAGCGAGGCTCCTAACTGGAGCAAACAGAAGAGCTCACATCACTCCTATTCTAATGTCTCTGCACTGGTTACCCGTTAACTTTAGAACCCTGACTATAACTTTCAATGCTCTACACGGTCAGGCTCCTCCCTATATTACTGAACTGTTAAAGCCTTATGCTCCAACCCGAGCCCTCAGGTTCACCCACCAGAACCTTCTAGAACACATATGTCAGAGTCAAGGCCCGCGGAGCATTTTTATGTGGCCCGTGAGATAAATATAAAAATATATTAAAACTGGCCTGCTAGCCGATTTTACCGCAAAGACTACAACTCCCATGATGCTTTGCGGCGCCAACGCGGAGCAGACGCGCCCCCTCCTTTGTGTTTTTTCAGCGCCGAGGCAGTCAGAGGTAGTTGGGTGTCTGCAGCTCCGCTGTCTCGGACAAACTACACTCCTCTCACTCAGCGCTGAGTTCACTCAGCTGTTTTCTGACGTTGAAGCCCAGAAACGGAGATTCTAGCCGCTCAGTAATGTTGGGGTTATTAGGAGCGAACAATTCGTAAGCTTTAACTTACTTTTGGATTCTTCAATAAATTCTGTAAATATGGGAATATTTACTGATTTATTAATTAATTAAGATATTCTTAGATATACGGGGCACCATTCCCCTTTAACCGGGGAAAAATTGAATCCAAAACTCTTATCAGTCTTTCTTGAAGTTCGTAGAATCCTCGGAGCAGAGACTTCTCTTCGACACAACAAAGCTACTGGAGACGAAAATCTGAATTTTATAACGTTTAATTAACAATTTGTCAAATGAATAAACAGTGGCATAAATGAATAATAACCATGTGATATAATAAAAGGATGTATATTCAAAATAATGTTCAAGGTGTTTTGTGTGTATGTATGTGTGTGTGTGTTTCTAAAATGGAGTCTGTATGCAAGATGGCTGACCCCTTTGTCTGGCTAAAGTGTGGGTGGCAACTTGCACTTTAACTTCCAAGACACTTAGAATCAT